ATGTATGCGTGATCTGCCAATGTATGCGTGATCTGCCAATGTATGCGTGATCTGCCAATGTATGCGTCATCTGCCAATGTATGCGTGAGATGCCAATGAATGCGTGAGATGCCAATGAATGCGTGATCTGAAAATGATGGCATGATCTTCCAATGATGTCGTGATCTGAAAATGATGGCATGGTCTTCCAATGATTGCGTGATCTGCGAATGAATGCCTAGTCACCGAATCACTGCGTCAAAGGTCAGTGAATGCGTGATCCCATGTTGTGCTGTTTATTTGTGTGTCTTAGTTCATTTCGTCAAAGTTTTTGGACATCATCATCGTGTCGTTGATGTAGATAAGACAGATCACGACGTGGACTTTGACCTATCAACAATAGCTGATAAACTTCCGTTTTGTTGTACTAGCCGCCAATCAGTCGGAAGGCGCACCGCTCTTCCCTCCAAAAGCCAAGACAAAGTAACGTAGCCATAGAATGTCAAGATTTCATTTCCCCATGCCCATTCCCCCAACCAGAAGGCATCACTAGGGGCTGTTGTCACCCGGTGCGGTAAACTCATACTGTCACAACCCCCCCCCCCTTTTTCCATGTGAATTGCACAAACAAATTCTGAACCAGATCATCGCTTTTGGTATTGTTTGTAATTTTAACGAAAGACATAAGAGGCAAGCAAAACAAAAAAAATGAAGTAGCCGCGTTAAATAAATGCAAAGAATTTTTTTTTTTTTTTTTTAAATGGAAATATTCACCTTAACAGTGAAAACTTCACTTTCACGGTCTTCGGAGAGGCAAGCCTGTCCATCACTTGAGAGGCCAGCCTGTCCATCACTTGAGAGGCAAGACTGTCCATCACTTGAGAGGCAAGCCTGTCCATCACTTGAGAGGCAAGCCTGTCCATCACTTGAGAGGCAAGCCTGTCCATCACTTGAGAGGCAAGCCTGTCCATCACTTGAGAGGCAAGACTGTCCATCACTTGAGAGGCAAGCCTGTCCATCACTTGAGAGGCAAGCCTGTCCATCACTTGAGAGGCAAGCCTGTCCATCACTTGATAAGAATCAATATTCTCCCTCCATCTAATCACTTTTAATTGACACAATTGCGAGATTACCCGCACTGTTCTGTGGCAGGTTGCAAATTATAGTTCTATAAAATTAAGTTTCAATTTTGATGTGGCTCCCCTCTCACAGAAGCCACAGATTGTGAGAAATAATTGCAGGCCTAACCAATGTTCCCTCTAAGGTTTGTTGGTTTGTGTGCAAATTATTACAGCATCAATTTTTTTGTGCGCAAAATTTTCAGCCTACAGACATTTAAGTGGAAATTAGCTGCGCGTTACTCAAAACTGCTGCGCGGCGTCTGTGAGAATGCTGCGCGGCCGCGCAGCTTAAAGGGAACATTGGACCTAACTAAAGGACTTGGACAGATTCTGGGAAGTCCCATTCAGCTTACGGTATACATTTAAAAAACTTCAAATCGTTACCAATCTTTGGTCTTCCTTCAGATAAATATCTTCTGCTTTTCGGGCGCCTTCGCAGCCTTGATATTTCAATGGAAAGTTCACGTTCAGATAATTCGTTATAGTACGTGGTCAGTTCGGGAATGGACATCAGTAGCTCTTCTTCAGTCGCCAATAGTAGACTCTAAGCCTTGAATAGCCTAAAAACATATCTTCTAATTTCCTTGATGGTTCTTTGTACAATCTGGGGTTCAGAATGAAAACAATCCATACACTCAAGCATTGTTCCTTGGCCGTCTCCCGGTCAGCCAGCGAGGGAGTCCGGACGCGGTCAGACAGCGAGGGCGAATGGACGAGGTCAGCCAACGAGGGCGTCTGGTCAAGGTCCCCCAGCGAGAGGGGGCCTGGACTTCAAGGGGTTGTAAATGACGTTTTAATGGTTGAATTACTTCCAACTTCCAGTCTACATTGCATCAACTTTTTTTTTAAACCACTCAATCGATTACAAATTATATATACGAATCACCCACCGACTTATTATTTAAATAAAAAAAATATATTCGATTACAACCATTCCATCATAAAACATGAATATAAATAGCCGGCATGGTATAGTTTATTAGTGCTAATTTTTTTTTTTAAATATTCGACTGCAACCGCTTCATCATAAAACATGAATATAAATAGCCCCCGTGGTTTAACGTGGCTGTTCAGTTCATGGTGCATCTTGCTGGTCTTACCAGGGTCTGTGCACAGTGCAAGTTTGTGAATAATGATCTGAAGCGAAAACTGAGCCACCTACCCCAACCTATGGGGTTAGGAAATAAAAAGCGTTTCAAATTTAGGCAAGTAGTTTTTCTGTACAGGTACTTTTAAAGTGTGGGTCCTCTGCTTGTGACAAAATAACAAAATATCATGAATGAATACGGTTGAGTTATTGAAGTACTTCATTCCCATGTAAAAGCCACCAGTTACTAGAATGATAACTGCTGCATTAAAAAAAAAAAAAACACTAGTTACTAGAATGACAATTCCTACTCATAAAAGCCCCCGTTTACTAGAATAACAATTTCCCACATGTAAAAGCCACCAGTTACTAGAATAACAATTTCCCACATGTAAAAGCCACCAGTTACTAGAATAACAATTTCCCACATGTAAAAGCCACCAGTTACTAGAATAACAATTTCCCACATGTAAAAGCCACCAGTTACTAGAATAACAATTTCCCACATGTAAAAGCCACCAGTTACTAGAATAATAATTTCCCACATGTAAAAGCCACCAGTTACTAGAATAACAATTTCCCACATGTAAAAGCCACCAGTTACTAGAATAACAATTTGCCACATGTAAAAGCCACCAGTTACTAGAATAACAATTTCCCCACATATTTCAGCCGCCAGTACCTAGAATGACCATGTCCCATTAAAACAAAAAGCCACCGGTTATCAGAATGTAAAAGAAAAAGCTACAGCATAAAATTGAAATATATGATTGAGGAAATAAATCTCCGCAGCACAATTATATATAGGGTCACGTATTATTTTATCATTTCTAATGTTGGGGAAAAAGCAAAAACAGTTCCAAGATTGAAACTAAAACCTATCAAATATTACAGTTGGCCTAAATGTCCCCAAGACTTTGCAATATCCTTTATTGAGATTTAAATTATTAAATTGAAACAATATAAATGTTTAAACATTCCAGACATTTGAATTCATCTTCATCTTCTTCCATATCTTGAGGGCCCACGATCAAGGTCAAATGACAGTGTTCACTATATGAACACTGCAGAACAACACATGCGGTTTCTTTTTATCTATGTTCTGTGTCCACGTGAACAAAACATTTCAAAGAGAGGTCAAAGTTCATCACCCTGTGTATGACAGTAGCTGTGTATGTGAGTAACAGTGTATGTGAGTAACTGTGTATGTCAGCAGCTGTGTATGACAGTAGCTGTGTATGACAGTAGCTGTGTACAACAGTAGATGTCTATGACAGTAACTGTGTATGACAGTAGCTGTGTATGTCAGCAACTGTGTAGCCTACCGGGTATTTCAATACCTGTGCATGACAGTACCAGTGCATGTTGGCATTAGTGTACGTCTGTCCCTTTCAGAATTTAAACATTTTTATCATAGGAGTAAGAGTTTTTGAATTCTGTCATCGTCAATAAATTCCACCAGCATCAGTAACTGGGAAGACCTTAGTGCTAAAAGTACTTCAGTCACAAAATGCTCATTTTGAGATAATCACGTTCAAAAATTCTTTTCGTCTATAAAATTTGATCATTTTCATTTTTTGTCTTGTTTATTTAAAGGACTTAGGTAAATTTTACAGTGCTAAAATTTGTGCACTGAACTTGGCTATACTTGATAAGAAAAGGGCACAGTTTAGACTGATTTTGACAAAGATGTGACTTAAGTACTTTTAGCACTGGTCTCTTCTCAGTTCTACATCTCCATCACATTGTATGTGATAAAAACTTAGAGCTTTGAAAAATAACACTGTGTAATGTTTGCAGGTCATCGAACATCACGGCCAGAAGTACAAACAGAAAAAAGATGAAATCTTGTGTTGATTATCACAGCTCACTGGCAATGTTCCCTTTAAGCTGCGCGGCCACGCAGCAATCTCACAGACGCCGCGCAGCAGTTTTGAGTACCACGCAGCAGTTTTGAGTACCACGCAGCAGTTTTGAGTACCACGCAGCAGTTTTGAGTACCACGCAGCAGTTTTGAGTACCACGCAGCAGTTTTGAGTACCACGCAGCAGTTTTGAGTACCACGCAGCAGTTTTGAGTACCACGCAGCAGTTTTGAGTACCACGCAGCAGTTTTGAGTACCGCGCAGCAGTTTTGAGTACCACGCAGCAGTTTTGAGTACCGCGCAGCTAATTTCCACTAAAGTGTGTGCTTTTGTTTGTAGGCTATACAATTTTGCACACAAAAAATTGATTCTGTAAAAATGTGCACACAACTTTAAAATTTTGCACACGAACCAACAAACCTTAGAGGGAACATTGCTTAGAGGGTAATAGCCATAACAGCCATGTTAATACAGACCTCACAGGGGCATTCCCTGGTAACTGACTTAATTTTCAGAAATATCAATTTCAATTTGCATCCAGTATAAACGAAAAATGTCATTAGGTGTGCTTAATTTAACTAGACATGGGTTGGGGTCTTATGCTGGTAGGCTTAAACAATAGCATTTATAATGGTTTAAACCTAATAGTAAAAATACTAGTTTTTTGGGAAGTGTAAATGATGAAACATGAAAAAGATGTAATAATATTCGAGTTGGCATCAGTGGTTTGATGATTTCCTCTGAAAACTGTTTTAATTAATACACATTTTTTCAAACTAATTAACCTTAAAAAACTACATACAAAGGAATTATTTTTTTAAATACGGACAAAATAACGTAAATTGACTTTGTAACTGACGTAATGTGTCTGAATGCAAGATATCAATTCTTTTACAGGATAACAAATATTTCCATGTAGCAGTTGAATTTAATTTAAATAAACATAAGTAACAGTGTTGAAAATTGACTGCCTATCTTTATCAGATTTAAACATAATAAACTTCAACAAACTTTGTATTAAAATGTGCAGACATCTTCTTAATTCAAAATGGCCACCGGCTCATGTGTCACACAAGAACAAAGATACTCAAATTGATTCCACACCAAGATGCATGAAATAATTTTATTTACTGTAGCACCAAATTTATTTTATGCAAATTTGATTATTTTTATTTTTGTGTCCACTTTTTCCATGGAACTCACCCATGGCTAACAAAGACAAAACTATAAGATTAAAAAACTGAACATTTGTTTTTAAAACATATAGACGTGGATCTAGTATAAATATAATTTCTGACATGTTTGCCAACATATGAAAATTGAAAGACTCTCATTCGACCACACTAATCAAAATAACAAAGATAAAATTTAGAAATCTTCAACAAATGGCAGCAACTTAATTATTATATAAAATTTGAAGTTGAAAAAAAAAAGAAAAGGAAAATTTAACAAGCTTTTTAGGCAATGGCCACAATATTGTTAGTGTAGTCAGTCAGGTAGAACAGGTCCATTTAGTCTAATCAGTCAGGTACATCAGTTCCATATCACATTTTGGAAGAATTTAAATTCAAATGACTTCTAACAAACAAAAGCAAAAAAATCATTATGTCGATCAAAACAACTTACGCAAGACAAGGGTTGGGAGGTCCAGAAAGGGGTGGGGAGTGTGGGGGGGGGAGGGTGTTTGTTTGCCACCTTACTCTGCAAGGGTCCATTCAAAATCACTCCATCCAGAGGGCACATACATATAGGCAAATTAACACATTAAAATAGAGCATTGCTGTAATATTTACTATTTTTCTTTAATTAACTCATTAACTAGTATAACTAGACAAAAATCCTCTCATCAAATGTCTCTTATGACTGCTTAGATTTTCTCATGGAAAATCCCAATGAAAATAGAAGGTGTAGCACACAACACACTAGCCTTGGAAAATGTTAATTTCAGTATTTCAACTGACTTAAAAGATTAAATAAGAAAACTGAGTCAAGAAACTCACATCATTTGTAATAAATGCCAAGACTGTCAGCATGTTTGATTATGTTAAGTTGAATGCTCCTGTCTGGGATTGGTACAAAAATCTATATCATAACTAACCACAGCAAATGATTGTACTGCTACCAAGATGCCCCAAGAAAAAGGTGGGTTTAACAAAATTACCATTATGTGTGCCTTCTGACACCAGTCCTGACCTGAGATCAAAGGTCAAGATGGAGAAAAAAAACAACATTTAAAATAAATATATATTTCAGAAAAAGACTAACTATATATTTACCCATAGAGACAAAAGGCTGTAATTTGAAATATGAATGAATAATTTTATTCCTGACATATGTGTAGCAATATTTGCTAAACATGATTATGTCGAAACAAAACAAATTGTATCTGAAGATGACATTCAGTAGAAATATTGTTGAACATTTCTTTACTGAAAAGAAAAAAAATCTAAAAAGACTATCTGTTTCTAACCTGTTTAATATTTTATGGCCCATTAATTATGGCAGCCAATTATACACGGCACATTTATATTTATATTATTTACACAAAAATGCTTCTGTCGCCAGGTATCAAAATTAAAACAGCTTATTCAAATGATAGAATAAATTTGTAACTATGCCCAGCTTTTTATAATAAAAATTATTTTTTTAAAAAGAAAACATCTTTAAAACATTCTTAGCATTACTTTCATTAATTCTTTCTTCCTTTTCTTCTATGTTCAGCACAACCCTCCTTCCAAATTTGAAATCATCTTTATTCCTTTTCTTCTATGTTCAGCACAACCCTTCTCCCAAAGTCGAAATCAGCCAAACAACTTTCAGGATCATCTAGTAGTCTCCTTGGGTATGATGTTGATATGGTATACTTCCTCTGACTGAACCCTTGGGTTGTTATAAAATCAAGGAGGCACTGTAAATAATAGGCATTATTTTGGTTAATTTGGTTAATGATCTTAAATATAATATAAGTAGATATACTTATATTTATCATATTTTAATCGATTTCCTTAAAATAATACATAATCCATATAATTGTTTGTAAGAATCAAAACGTATCTAAATTAATTCCTTTTTTTTTTTTAGTGTTATGTGGTCACGTTAGCTTGTTCTTATATAGATATTTGAGACCTAAAGGATTTATTAAAAACACATAGTTCATTAACCAAATTAACCAATGTGTTTTTAATAAATCCTTTAGGTCTCAAATATCTATATAAGAACAAGCTAATGTGACCACATAACACTAAAAAAAAAAAGGAATTAATTTAGATACGTTTTGATTCTTACAAACAATTATATGGATTATGTATTATTTTAAGGAAATCGATTAAAATATGATAAATATAAGTATATCTACTTATATTATATTTAAGTATATGTACTTTGTTATATATAAGAATTATTATAATAAATTAGAAATATATTTAAGGTGACAATGAAAGAATTATTTTGAGTATTTTATCTGAAAATGAGAGTTAAAATATTCTTTTTGTTATCAATCAATGATAATCAATCATATGTATTACTGTTATTAATTTGTAAACACATTTATTGGGAAACCCACAAAATTTGTTGTTTTTTCATTGCATTAAATTTAAATGTATGCTAATTGTCCAAATAAATTCAATTTCAAACAATATCAAACCAACATTTTTGCTTTAACCCAGAGAAAAATAAAGTTAGAATATTCTTATAAGAACTTAATTTAAACCTGCAAATCACAAGCCTCCACTTTCCTTGATTTAACCCCAAAGTGCCAAAACTGCTTTCACAAGCCTCCACTTTCCTTGATTTAACCCCAAAGTGCCAAAGCTGCTTTTTAAAATTGTTAATACCACCACACTAAATTTTAGCTATGTACCTTTAACATTTAATAAGTTTTACTTATTTTTCATTCCAGAAATATGCATTTAAAAAAAAAAATATTAATGTTGAAGAAATATTTTTAACATGATATTGCCTTTCAAGCAATTAGGTGCAAGAAAGGTTCATTGCCAAATACCACTTACTAACTCATTTATCACTCATCCAAATAACAACAAACCATGTGAAGATGCAATCTTGGATCAACAAATACCATGGCAAAGGGAATAAGATGCTTATATTTTTATGTGGATGACAATATCTTTAATTGTGATGACATTACAGTCGTGAAAAAGAGGTGTTAGATTTTCTTATAAAATAAATGTATGTTTTACCAATTAACAAATTTCAGTATAAGGTCACGGACAAACCGTTGTTGTTTGCGTGTTTATCATAGTTGCAGTGAATTAAGGTTTAGGTTAGGTTAAGGCAGGAGTCTGGAACCTTTTTGTCTGAGAGAGCCATGGACACCACATATTTTGAAAAGTAACTCTGTGAGAGCCATGCATTGTGTTTAAAACTAAAAATTCAAGTAAAATGTGTGCATTTTGTGTAATTTCAACACTAAAAATGCAATAATTATGTCTCTGAATTCTTTTTAATAACATTGTCTTGCTGTTGCTAATCAATAATGAGTATTTCTTACCATTAATGCGTCTTTTTTTAATAATCGAACATTTGTCTGCGAGCCAGATGCAGCCATCAATAGAGCCACATCTGGCTCGCAAGCCATAGGTTCCCGACCCCTGGGTTAAGAGATCCATTTTTAGGATTCAGGTTAGGGTAAGGGATACATTTAGTGACAGGATTAACTGGTTGTGTCAACCAAGACGGCGGCCAACGCGGGACGATCTCTAATCATTTACCAAATATGAAAACATATCTTTTGTTTCCACTTTGCGAGAAATAAAGTTCATGGAAAAGTGGGAGTACGTTTTTTATGAGACTAATAATGTTTTGAAAAAACAAAAAAACCCACCAACAACTCAAGGCTGTTACAAATGTTAAAATTGGTTAAGAGATTCTTCTTTAAATATAAGAATTCCGTGTTTGACGATTTTCTGATTACATAGAGAAGCCAGGCAAAAGTTTGCTTAAATGTTTAATGAAGATAAAAATATATCAAAGTCCATTAATGTTATAAAGATTTTTTTTTTGGTTGTAAATCTAAGCACGTGATTCTAATTTTTTTGTTTGAAAAAAATGCATTTTTCTTTTTTGTAGTTTAGGTACACGAAAAGGGTTGGTTGGGCATATAAATATTTCTCAAAACTAAACGATGTTAGAAATATAAACATCAATAAAATAGCTACTTCTTTGTAAAACAAGGAAAGTCACTTTAACTATTTCCTAAATATACTTTTCAAGGGTGTGGAATATTGCTATACTTTTCAAGGGTGTGGAATATTGCTATACTTTTCAAGGGTGTGGAATATTGCTATACTTTTCAAGGGTGTGGAATATTGCTATACTTTTCAAGGGTGTGGAATATTGCTATACTTTTCAAGGGTGTGGAATATTGCTATACTTTTCAAGGGTGTGGAATATTGCTATACTTTTCAAGGGTGTGGAATATTGCTATACTTTTCAAGGGTGTGGAATATTGCTATACTTTTCAAGGGTGTGGAATATTGCTATACTTTTCAAGGGTGTGGAATATTGCTATACTTTTCAAGGGTGTGGAATATTGCTATACTTTTCAAGGGTGTGGAATATTGCTATACTTTTCAAGGGTGTGGAATATTGCTATACTTTTCAAGGGTGTGGAATATTGCTATACTTTTCAAGGCTGTGGAATATTGCTATACTTTTTAAGGGTGTGGAATATTGCTATACTTTTCAAGGGTGTGGAATATTGCTATACTTTTCAAGGCTGTGGAATATTGCTATACTTTTCAAGGGTGTGGAATATTGCTATACTTTTCAAGGGTGTGGAATATTGCTATACTTTTCAAGGCTGTGGAATATTGCTATACTTTTCAAGGCTGTGGAATATTGCTATACTTTTCAAGGGTGTGGAATATTGCTATACTTTTCAAGGGTGTGGAATATTGCTATACTTTTCAAGGCTGTGGAATATTGCTATCATTTTCAAGGGTGTGGAATATTGCTATACTTTTCAAGGGTGTGGAATATTGCTATACTTTTCAAGGCTGTGGAATATTGCTATACTTTTCAAGGGTGTGGAATATTGCTACACTTTTTTGTTTTTAGTGTGAGTGTTTTTTGGGTGTTTTGTTGTTGTTTTTGTTGTTTTTTTTTGAAGATACCAAACATTAAAACTCAATTCAGGTATCTAAGTAAAAATGTCATTGTTAAATGTTGAGACTTCAAAACAGCATTTAGAAAGTGTCGCAAAATGTCTACCATTAGAGACCGACCGAAAGTGATTTTCTGATTTCGGCCGAAACCGAAACTTGGCCGAAGGTTTAAAATGACTTACTTAATATGTGAATGAAAGTTGGATACATCGAAAATGATGGGGAGAAAGTATCAATATTTACATTCTCTTCATCAAAAATGAGATCATCGACAATATTAATAATTAAACATCTAATGTAGGGGTCTCAAACTCACGGCCTGCGGGCCATTTGCGGTCACAAGACGATATGTTGCGGTCCGCTACATGACATCAAAGTTTAGTCTTAATTTTGCTAGCGCTTATTCCCCAATTCTCATATCTATAAAGTGACCCTCCGAGGCGGTTTCAGTCGAATCTTACCAATTAGTCTAATTCTCATTTTTATTATGGTTGTATATATTTGTATTTTGATAATAATGGTACGTACCGTTTTAAAATCGGACTAAAAGTTTTTATTTTATAGCATTTTCTGAGACAAACATGGCATGAGTGCGTTTTTGAGAAAAGTTTTAAAAGACAATTGGTGGGTAATGCACAACCATAATTGTGTAAATGGTAGCAATGTGACACAGTATCAAAGAATCACTATTAAAATTGCCGCTAGTGTTTACGAGTGAGGGAAATTCCGAGGCTCTCAGCTTGGTCACTTTCAAAATAGGGTTAGTCAAAAAGGCCTTTTCTACGATAACAAACCAATATTCATTCTCCCTACAATAGCTTTTTACCTTCGCATCAATAATTTATAAATATGGCCTGCTCCTGCCTACTGTTTGAACACGTTTTAGCATTTAAAGCTTTCATGGAGACGGATGGGGTGGGGGTGGTTGTTCCTGTACTAAGTGATCACAAATGGTTCATGGACTTGGCTTTTCTTGTTTACATTACACAGGAGCTGAATGTACTTAACAAGTAGTTACAAGACGAGGGGTAGCTTGTCTGTGTTGGCTATGACAATGTCAGGGCATTCTGATCAAAACTTGTGTTATGGTTCTTAGAGAAACCTCTGTCATTTCCCAACATCTGAAGTACTCATGGACTTGGGCAGTAATAAGTATACTAATGCCATTGCAAAGCTACAGGAGGAATTTGATCACATTTTTTAGAATTCAAAACACACACAGCCACTTTTCAGCTTTTCTCTTTTAATGTGGACGATGCCCACCAAACTTTACTTTTTTTATTTTTTTATTATTTTTTTTTTTGCGCTTCAAATGGAGCAGATTGATCTTCATTTTTATTTGTTATTTATAATGGCTGAGCAGATTGTACTTAAATGAATTTGTAATCGGTTTTTTTTTGTAGTGTTGCGTTTGTTTTAAATGTGGTAAATTATAGATTTGTTTTTTGTTGACTTTGTACCGCGCTTCGAGCCTTTGGGGATGAAGCGTGTTTTTGAAATGAACTTTATTATTATTATTTTCTGTGGAGTATTTGATGCGGCCCAGTCTCAATCAGACTCTGCCTACGGTGGCCACCGGATGATTTGAGTTTGAGACCCCTAATCAAATGAATACTTTGGCTTATAACAATTTAAGTTAAAATTAGTTTAAATATTAATTAAGCATTAACTGCGAAACATTGGGGTGATATTTTTATAGCCGTAATAACTAATATTTAGTTGACAATTGGCTCTATTAGAGCCACAGTAATTATTTTAGGCATATGTTCTAGGTTGTAATTATATTATAAAAGCAAAAGGCGCTCAGTGGTCTTTTTTGCACGATTTTGTTCCCCACCCGTCCTTTTTTTTCTAAATTTTCTCCTACGCCATGCGAAGTTTCTCGTGACATTTTTTGTTTGTTAAGTATTTGTCAATGTTTAAATTACGAATTAAAAGCAATATAAATGTTCTGTGATTACAACAACTAACAAAAACAAAAATAAAGAATATATTTTTTTTAAAAATGATAATAATAACAGTTTGAGATCCACTGGTATAATATTTAATCTTGTGTTGGTCCTCTTTGTGTGTAGGTGTTGTTGTTGTTGTTGTTGTTTGAGTAAGCCAACTTGGCCATTGCACCGTATTATCTGGCAAGGGAATTTGGGGGGGGGGGGAGAGGAGGGTTCAGAAGATACCAGAGTGAAAGCCACATGTTCCCGTAATGTGATCGAACGCTGCTCATCGCGGTCTCAATAAAGTTATATCAAAGTCTAGGACTAGATTGTCAAGAAAAAAAAAAAAAGGGGACAAATACTCAAGAAAATACCAGAGTGAAAGCCACATGTTCCCGTAATGTGATCGAACGCTGCTCATCGCGGTCTCAATAAAGTTATATCAAAGTCTAGGACTAGATTGTCAAGAAAAAAAAAAAAAGGGGACAAATACTCGCGACCATGGTGCATCTTTCTCGTGGTATTTCAGGGTGGTTGGAAAAGTTGGGGGCAAAAATAATTTGGAAATAGATTGAACGCAAGTACCGATTATAAGAATAATATGAAATTTCAAATCAAATAAGAGAGGAAACATTCGGTATACCGTTTATATATACTCGCCTATAGGTCACGCTAGTGGACAGGTCGCACCAGGGGATAGGTCACACCAGTGGATAGGTCGCACCAGCGGATAGGTCGCATCAGGGGATAGGTCGCAACAGTGGATAAATCGCAACAATGGATAGGTCGCACCAGTGGATAATCCAGACCGGTGGATATGCCGCATCAGAAGATAGGTCGCAACAGTGGATAAGTCAGACCGGTGGATATGCCGCATCAGGGATAGGTCGCACCAAAGGATAGGTCGCACCAGGGGATAGGCCAGTTCCTTTTGTTTGGGACCTGTCAAAGTGGGTATGTGCTGTTCCCTGGCAGATAGGTCGCACCAGGGGATAGGCCAGTTCCTTTTGTTTGGGACCTGTCAAAGTGGGTATGTGCTGTTCCCTGGCAGATAGGTCGCACACTTGGTGAGTGTTCGGGGCATTGCATTGCCATTTCCCCATCGTTGATACAACTAATGTATGTTAAACAGACATCACACAAATGTTTCAAATTCTCTTTGTCTTAGCATTTTCTCCTCGGTTATTTCGATTCTTTTATGTCGCCGAACCCTGATATCTCGAACACAAAAGGCGGCCAAATTTGCCACTTAACCTCGGTTACCTCGATCCCCATGACCAATCGCCGGCTTTTGAAAATTATATACAACAGAAACGTGCCAAATTCCAACTGTAGTGATTGAAGTGAAATGACAATATCGCTGTCCGCGCAATTAACTTGACACAGCAAGAAGCGAGGAGTGAGAGGCTTGCAAACAAAAGAGAGAGGCGAGGTCGCAGTACCTGTTCTATTTATAGCGAACCCGCTTGTCGCTTATTAAATCAATAGGCTTTCATCAAGCGCTCTCAGACGTTGATTTATTTATTTATTTTGTTAAACCCAGAATCCGTATTTGAATCAACTGAACCAGCGAAACCGGACCGAGAGAAAATAAAAAAACTAGCGGATCCGATCCCTAGCTGAAAATATTTAGCCTTACGAATCCGGAATTCCGGGATAATCCGGAAAAGTGGCAGCCCACATATGCCTTGTGTTGTTAGCAAACATGTATGTACATTTTAAAGCAGGCCGATCGCTTCATTGAACCAATCGCTGTACGGTAACGCTGCTGTGTAAAAAAAAAAAAACAACTCCAAAAACACGTGCATGTACATTCTCATTTATAAACGCACATCGTAAGAAATTTCAAGCACATGTTAATAATATTCCCGCCATACTGGTTTTCGTTTATCTCGATCATCGGTTATCTCGACGCTTATTGGCAAACCCTAAGGCCGTCGACATAACCGAGTTCCACTGTAAATAACGCTTTTTTGGCAAACTCCAAGGCCGTCGACATAACCGAGTTCTACTGTAAATAACGCTTTTTTTGGCAAACCCCAAGGCCGTCGACTTAACCAAGTTCCACTGTAAATAAAACCAGATTGCCCTCTGTTCCATTGTAAGTGAAAGCAAAGGAGACAACATATGACAACAAGGCCGTACTAATCCACAGTGAATAACAGGAAGCAATATGGATGGCGTAGGAGGAAGGGAGGCCGGGGTCAGGGCGGTTTGCCCCTGGCAGCAATGTGTTCTTTATGTAGGGGGGGGGCTGGCGGCATATTCGGGCCTCTAAGACGCAAAGCAGAATTTAATTTTACTATCAAGCACTGCTCTTATTATTATTATTAAAATGAGATCGTGGAGCTCTAATTGGCTAAATTCTATAATGCCTACTTGGTCCTTTATCATGACAAAGTTAAATTTTTAAATTGAATATTAGGTCAAAAACAACACAAAGTCACCAAAAAGAACACTCTAATATCCCGACCTGTCACCAAAAGACCACACTATTATCCTGACCTGTCACTAAAAGACCACACTATTATCCCGACCTGTCACTAAAAGACCACACTATTATCCCGACCTGTCACCGAAAGACCTCACTATTATCCCGACCTGTCACTAAAAGACCACACTATTATCCCGACCAGTCACAAAAAGACCACACTATTATCCCGACCTGTCACTAAAAGACCACACTATTATCCCGACCTGTCACTAAAAGACCACACTATTATCCCGACCTGTCACTAAAAGACCACACTATTATCCCGACCTGTCATTGAAAGACCACACTATTATCCCGACCTGTCACCAAAAGACCACATTATTATCCCGACCTGTCACTAAAAGACCCCACTATTATCCCGACCTGTCACCGAAAGACCACACTATTATCCCGACCAGTCACAAAAAGACCACACTATTATCCCGACCTGTCACTAAAAAACCACACTATTATCCCGACCAGTCACCGAAAGACGACACTATTATTCCGTCCTGTCACAAAAGACCACACTATTATCCCGACCTGTCACCGAAAGACCACACTATTATCCCGACCTGTCACCGAAAGACCACACTATTATCCCGACCTGTCACCGAAAGACCACACTATTATCCCGACCTGTCACCGAAAGACCACACTATTATCCCGACCAGTCACCGAAAGACGACACTATTATTCCGTCCAGTCACCAAAAGACAACACTATTATCCCGACCTGTTACTGAAAGACCACAATATTATCCCGTCCTTTCACAAAAAGACCAGACTATTATCCCGACCTGTCACTAAAAGACCAGACTATTATCCCGACCTGTCACCAAAAGACCAGACTATTATCCCGACCTGTCACCGAAAGACCACACTATTATACCGTCCAGTCACCGAAAGACCACACTATTATCCCGTCCTGTCACCAAAAGACCAGACTATTATCCCGACATGTCACCAAAAGACCAGACTATTATCCCGACTTGTCACCGAAAGACCACACTAATATACCGTACAGTCACCGAAAGACCACACTATTATCCCGACTAGTCACCAAAAGACCAGACTATTATCCCAACATGTCAACAAAAGACCAGACTATTATCCCGACTTGTCACCAAAAGACCAGACTATTATCCCGACATGTCACCAAAAGACCAGACTATTATCCCGACTTGTCACCAAAAGACCAGACTATTATCCCGACATGTCACCAAAAGACCACACTATTATCCCGACTTGTCACAAAAAGACCACACTATTATCCCGACCAGTCACCAAAAAGAACACTCTATTATCATGACCTGTCACCAAAAGACCACACTATTATCCCGACCTGTCACCAAAAGACCACATTATTATCCCGACCTGTCAAAAAGACCACACTATTATCCCGACCTGTCACCAAAAGACCACACTATTATCCCGACCTGTCACCAAAAGACCACACTATTATCCCGACTTGTCACCAAAAGACCAGACTATTATCCCGACTTGTCACCAAAAGACAGACTATTATCCCGTCCTGTCAAAAGACCACATTATTAATATTATCCCGACTTGTCACCAAAGTTGTTGATCTCTGCAACTACAACAGACCATCATGTGGATAAAGGGAATCTTGAGCTCCTCTGACCGCTTGGCAAAGCTCCACCTTGAAGATACTTTGTAATGTGACCCTCTAGAGAACATATGCCCTGTACTTTCTATACTGACAACACATTTGCTGTACCCCGTCAAGTTGGGTCATTGTGTCCGCACACCTTCCCCAGTAAAAAAAAAACAAAAACAAAAAAACCAGGACAAATACACTTTTATGAACACTGAGAAACTGACGATAGAGTGGTCATGTAGCCATGTAGTTAGACCCTTTCGGATGGAAACTAACAATAGAGTGGTTATGTTATCCATCTGAAGACTTCACTTGGGCACCTTAGAGTGTTCATATCGTCCATTACAAGACATCACATTGACTAATTTAGAGTGGTCATATCGTCCATTACAAGACATCGCATTGACTAATTTAGAGTGGTCATATCGTCCATTACAAGACATCACATTGACTAATTTAGAGTGGTCATATCGTCCATTACAAGACATCGCATTGACTAATTTAGAGTGGTCATATCGTCCATTACAAGACATCACCTTGACTAATTTAGAGTGGTCATATCGTCCATTACAAGACATCGCATTGACTAATTTAGAAAGGTCATATCGTCCATTACAAGACATGACCTCGACTAATTTAGAGTGGTCATATCGTCCATTACAAGACATGACCTTGACCTTCTGAATACGCTGTCCCGGCGATTTTACAAGTGCTTTTTAAATCTCGCTTCCCGCGTTTACCTTCTAGTTAACTTAGGTTAAACATTTAACCTGTCTAGTGAACTTAGGTTAAACATTTACCCTTACTAGTTAACTTAGGTTAAACATTTACCCTTACTAGTTAACTTTGGTTAAACATTTACCCTTACTAGTTAACTTAGGTTTAACTTTTACCATTACTAGTTAACTTTGGCTAAACATTTACCCTTACTAGTTAACTTTGGTTAAACATTTACCCTTACTAGTTAACTTTGGTTAAACATTTACCCTTACTAGTTAACTTTGGTTAAACATTTACCCTTACTAGTTAACTTTGGTTAAACATTTACCCTTTCTAGTGAACTTAGGCTATATATTTAACCTTTCTAGTTAACTTAGGCCATATATTTAACCTTTCTTGTTGACTTTGGTTAAACATTAACCCTTTCTAGTGAACTTAGGCTATATATATAGTATATATTTAACCTTTCTTAGAACTTTCTAGTTAACTTAGGCCATATATTTAACCTTTATAGTTAGCCTAACATTTAAATTTCTCTATATGTATAGATATATTTTCAAAACAATGAAACATGATATTGTTAAACTACACTGCAATCTTGCTGTAAAATCTATTGGTGCAATCTTGCTGTAAAATCTGTTGGTGCAATCTTGCTGTAAAATCTGTTGGTGCAATCTTGCTGTAAAATCTGTTGGTGCAATCTTGCTATAAAATCAGTTGGTGCAATCTTACTGAAAACTCAATTGGTGCAATATTTCTGTAAAATCAGTTGGTGCAATCTTGCTGTAAAATCAGTTGGTGCAATCTAGCTGTAAAATCAGTTGGTGCAATATTTCTGTAAAATCTGTTGGTGCAATCTTGCTGTAAAATCAGATGGTGCAATATTGCTGTAAAATCAGATGGTGCAATATTTCTGTAAAATCTGTTGGTGCAATCTTGCTGTAAAATCAGTTGGTGCAATCTAGCTGTAAAATCAGTTGGTGCAATATTGCTGTAAAATCAGTTGGTGCAATCTTGCTGTAAAATCAGTTGGTGCAATATTTCTGTAAAATCAGTTGGTGCAATCTTGCTGTAAAATCTGTTGGTGCAATCTTGCTGTATAATCAGTTGGTGCAATCTTGCTGTAAAATCTGTTGGTGCAATCTTGCTGTATAATCAGTTGGTGCAATATTTCTGTACAATCTGTTGGTGCAATCTTGCTGTAAAATCTGTTGGTGCAATCTTGCTGTAAAATCAGTTGGTGCAATCTTGCTGTAAAATCTGTTGGTGCAATCTTGCTGTAAAATCTGTTGGTGCAATCTTGCTGTAAAATCAGTTGGTGCAATCTAGCTGTAAAATCTGTTGGTGCAATCTTGCTGTAAAATCAGTTGGTGCAATCTAGCTGTAAAATCTGTTGGTGCAATCTTGCTGTATAATCTGTTGGTGCAATCTTGCTGTAAAATCTGTTGGTGCAATCTTGCTGTAAAATCTGTTGGTGCAATCTTGCTGTAAAATCTGTTGGTGCAATCTTGCTGTAAAATCTGTTGGTGCAATCTAGCTGTAAAATCTGTTGGTGCAATCTTGCTGTAAAATCTGTTGGTGCAATCTAGCTGTAAAATCTGTTGGTGCAATCTTGCTGTAAAATCAGTTGGTGCAATCTTGCTGTAAAATCTGTTGGTGCAATCTAGCTGTAAAATCAGTTGGTGCAATCTAGCTGTAAAATCTGTTGGTGCAATCTTGCTGTAAAATCAGTTGGTGCAATCTAGCTGTAAAATCAGTTGGTGCAATCTTGCTGTAAAATCTGTTGGTGCAATCTTGCTGTAAAATCAGTTGGTGCAATCTTGCTGTAAAATCAGTTGGTGCAATCTTGCTGTAAAATCTGTTGGTGCAGCTGTCTCTCTACTGCGAGTGACTTAATGGTTTTTGCTTGTTTGCCGCTGTCTTGTTCGGCAGGACTGCTCGCGAAAACAAAACCTGTCTTGGTCAGGACCAATGGTAGTCACCGGTGTGTCCAGGGCACGTTCCCAAGCCATCGCCCTGTGGATAATTCGGTCGTACCCGCACTTATTCGGTCGGATGACCTTACCCCAGCGGACTCACGTTTAAAGTTCAGTAAACACATGTTTAAACACATGTTTTCTTACACCGCATGTGTTCATTGTGACTTGCGTGTGGGAATGTTTTTCACAATTTAATAAGATGGAGGATGACATGCGCAGTTCAAGGTCGCAATGAATCAGCTGTCACCAAGACTCCCTCTGATGTTTCCAAGCTTAGATCCGTGCATCACAGGCATACCGCTGCTTGTTCGTGGCGTGTCTTTACCGTTAAAAAAAAAAAAAGGCGATGATTGGATTGCAACATTAGATACACAAAACTTGGTAAAAATAATACTCCCCTTTAGCGTATTATGTCAAGAATTGTTTCATTGACCAACTACCCCGTCGTCATGATCAAAACTTTTGCCGCAAAAATTCATTCAAAGGGATCTATTTCCACGAAACAATATCTAATTTAAGAAAACTTGTGCGAGTAGTTATTTTTTTTTTTTTTAAATTAAAAAAAAAAATGAACTTAATTGCAGTACGATAACAGATCACGTTCACCCTAGGTGTCACGTGATGAGTATCCCTTGTGTGACATTGGGAATTACGGATCACGTTAAATCTTGGGGTCGTGTTATCCTAGCATCATCACATGATAGCGTTGCATCTGTTTGGGGAGCAAACTGAAGCAAAGAATCAACCGCATTGCTTCCCAACCGATGCGCCGAAACTCGCAAAGTGTGCGGCCATGCCAATCAAATTGTCACGCAAAATTTATCTATATTCAGACTATCATTAGCAGTGTTGACATTTCAAGGGATTCGCCTAGCGTTAACTGTCAGAAGGTTTAGCTGACCAAAGACACTGTGCCATTGTAGCACGTGATGAAATAGCTGATGCTGCAAATTATGTACTATTAAATTAAGAAAAACATTCTATCAGATTTGTACAGATAAAGCGGCTTCTATAGAATGTTTAATGAAAGAGGTAAAATGAATACATATTCACTACTTCAATTTTTTTTTCAATGGCGTAAACATATGCCTTTTTAGATCAGTGGTTCTCAGCCTCCTAATGCCGCGAACCTTTAATACAGTTCCTCATGTTGTGGTGACCCCCAAACCATAAAATTATTTTTGTTGCTACTTCATAAATATGTCTTTTCCTATGGTCTTAGGCGACCTCTATATGGAAGGGGTTCGTGACACACAGGTCGAGAATCGCTGTTTTAAAGCAATGTTTTCCAACCTTTTTGCCCCATTCCCCACCCTAGCTCCTGCAGATGTTTTATGTCACCCATCTCACTAAGTGAAAGAGCTTAACAACATATAAAGATAGTTATTATACCATCAGAACGATTGATTTCAATTTTGCAGCCTGTCTTAGGCCCCATGATTTAGCGTTGTAGGACAAAAATTACAATAGGTCAAATATAGATTTGTATCGCGAAGAATAACAAACAATAACTAACAAACAATAACAGGTGAACAATAACAGACAAACAATAACAGGCAAACAATAACAAACAAACATATGGCAGGAGCGGTGACGAAATGCGGAAGGGAGAAAAAAAAAGGAATGACATGGTGACTAATTTAAAAGGTTTTTTTTTTATTGGCACCCATACCATACATATAGTCCGTCCATACCATACATATAGTCCGTCCATACCATACATATAGTCCGTCCATACCTAAATATAGTCCGTCCATACCATACATATAGTCCGTCCATACCATACATATAGTCCGTCCATACCATACATATAGTCCGTCCAAACCATACATATAGTCCGTCCATACCATACATATAGTCCGTCCATACCATACATATAGTCCGTCCATACCATACATATAGTCCGTCCATACCATACATATAGTACGTCCATACCATACATATAGTCCGTCCATACCATACATATAGTCCGTCCATACCATACATATAGTCCGTCCATACCATACATATAGTCCGTCCATACCATACATACAGTTCGTCCATACCATACATATAGTCCGTCCATACCATACATATAGTCCGTCCATACCATACATATAGTCCGTCCATACCATACATATAGTCCGTCCATACCATACATATTGTCCGTCCATACCATACATATAGTCCGTCCATACCATACATATAGTCTGTCCAAACCATACATATAGTCCGTCCATACTATACATATAGTCGTCCATACCATGCATATATTCCATCCATACCATGCATATATTCAATCCATACCATACATATATTCTGTCCATACCATACATATATTCCATCCATACCATGCATATATTCAATCCATACCATACATATATTCCGTCCATACTATGCATATAGTCCGTCCATACCATACATATATTCCATCCATAGCATGCATATATTCCATCCATACCATACATATATTCCCTCCATTTCATTCATACATTCTCATCTGTAACAGAGCATGACAATTATTTTTTTGATACACGTATATGAACATGACAGAGACGCTCCACATACTGGAGCATGACAAAGACGCTCCACATACTGGAGCACATGACAGAGACGCTCCACATACTGGAGCATGACAAAGACGCTCCACATACTGGAGCACATGACAGAGGCGCTCCACATACTGAGCATGACAGAGGCGCTCCACATACTGGAGCACATGACAGCGACGCTCCACATACTGAGCATGACAGAGACGCTTTACATACTGGAGCATGACAGAGACGCTCCACATACTGGAGCCAGGGGCGTAGCGAGGGGGGCAGGGGGGACAGATGTCCCCGGGCGCCAGCTAGTTAGGGGCGCCAAAATGTGCTTTGATATTATTTTATTGATGAAAATAATGGGTTTGAGAGTTGAAAAAAAGAAAAAGGGGCGCTTTAAAATGGATCTTGTCCCCGGGCGCGAATCGTGTCCCCAGGCACCAAACACTCTCGCTACGCCTCTGACTGGAGCATGACAGAGACGCCTCACATACTGGAGCATGACAGAGACGCTCCACATACTGGAGCATGACAGAGACGCTACACATACCGGAGCATGACAGAGACGCTGCACATGCTGAAGCATGACAAAGACGCTCCACATACTAAAGCACGGCAAACACTCTCCATATACTGGAGCTTTGCGGAAACGCTCCACTTAATAGAGCATACAGGGGCAAATGTATTTATTTCTCTTTGGTGTGTATCGATTTCTTGGTGGTGCGTGATGTTCATGTTTTATATTTGACATCATTCACCAACTAGCGTGGTGTTCATGTTTTATATTTGACATCATTCACCAACTAGCGTGGTGTTCATGTTTTATATTTGACATCATTCACTAACTACTAACTTGCGTGATGTTTTATTTTTTATATTTGACATCTTTCACCTTGTAAATTCTGCGAGTAGGTCGACCATAATAACGAAGGAAGGGCAACTCTAGTTTCCTAGCACTTCTGGTTTATCTTCAGATCAGAACGCGTTGCAAGTCATGGGTTAGATTTATATAGTAAGTCACGGGTTAGATTTATATAGTAAGTCACGGGTTAGATTTATATAGTAAGTCACGGGTTAGACTTATATAGTAAGTCACGGGTTAGATTTGTATAGTAAGTCACGGGTTAGATTTATATAGTAAGTCACGGGTTAGATTTATATAGTACGTCACAGGTTAGATTTATATAGTAAGTGATAGTTTAGATATATATAGTAAGAAAATGGTTAGATTTATATAGTAAGTCACAGGTTAGATTTATATCATAAGTTATGGTTTATTTATATCATAAGTCAAGGGTTAGATTTACATCATAAGTCATGGGTCAGAATTATATAGTAAGTCATGGGTTAGATTTATATCGTAAGTCAGCTTTTAGATTTATAACATAAGTCAGAGATTATAATGTATTGCAAGTCATGGTTAAGAATGATGATATTGGCCACTTATACATTGGCGACATATTTAATTTACTTCCGATTATTATTTAGAGCTAACATTTGATGGAAATAATGCAATCTTGCCCACAACGTGATATGTTTTCCATTTAATTATTTGGACACTCTTCAGTGAGTAAACGCATTACATCTTTTATTGTGTGTGTAGTTCAGCAAGGTCTGTGCATAATAACACTGGGGGACTTTTTAAAGTCATTTTAAAATACACGCAACAAAATAAAAACCTCTTGTTTGTATAATATAATTTTTGTGTAGAAATCAGTCCCACTTCGGAATTGCAGTGAATAGATTAATAATGAAACGGCTTTAGTAAATGCGGTGAGATGTGTGAGCAGGCAGTTCATACCGGCCTCAGGTGGACAAAGGCAAGTCTAACAGCTCTTAAGCGAAACAACCCAATAAGTCATGCGGTAGGCCAGGACTTTTTTGTCCCATGTGGCCTGCGTGGCTTGGTGTCACAAGTCATCAGGATTTAAGAAATGACGGCATTTTTTATTGACAATGTTTAATATGTTGGTGCAGCGCCAGTTTGGCGTGGTTATTCCAAAGTTATTTGTCCATACATTTCATGGGGGAATTATTAGTTTTGTGATATACCTTCATACATACATGTGTAAGTTGTGACATACCTTCGTACATACATGTGTAAGTTGTGACATACCTTGATACATACATGTGTAAGCAGAAAACAAATCAAGAAGGGGGATGCGTAAACCACCCTCCCCTCCCCTTTTTCCTTATTAAAAAAAAATAGTTAATTTTCATAGTAAATTTGTTCATATTTTAAACAGATTCAGAAGTGAACAAATCCATGCAACCCCCTTCTCCCTTAAAATAAAAGACTCACAGAGAAATATATGACCTGAATATTTTGCTTCGGAGACACTCCAAACGATATCATTGTCATTAGAGGGTATCGATATCCCAGATCAAATCGAACAGCGGCGATGGAATCGTTTTAGACTGTTTAAACGTAGTCCTTATGCGAAATTTAGCCGATTCCTAGATTATATGTCAAGTATCTCTGGGCTTGTTTGCACAACTTAAAATGTAATGATACCTTTTTTCTTGCTTTGAAAGCCGATACTGATTAAATTTGAGATATTTCAGCTGGCCAGGGCTGAGTGTGAGACCAGAGTTGCTGTACTCATTTTGCCTTGGGTTTCTTTTTAATATGGTCAAGAAATGAGTGATGCATCCCAAACCCGTATGCTATGTCGAAGTGTGTGCGTACATCTTGTAAAGCAGGGATCGTGTGAACTTTTTTGTCTATTCCCCAAAATACGTTTATTAACGCAGACGTCATCCTCTAGCTTTAAAATGGAATAAATTCTCGATTATTTAATTTTCAAAAGGTTTAAATGAATATGTTTATATCGAAGAATGTGATTATACAAATACAATGTAAAATGCGAAATGCATAAAATCCTCACTATGGCAAAAAGAATTTCAAAATCATTTAACGAGGCGTACAGCCTAACCACTGCGCCCCTACACAACACAAGCCTAACTATTTAGTGAAACAGCATGAATGATTCAGAATCGCCACAATATTACATCATCTTCAAATGCAGCTATTTTATTTCTGCATGATTCATACTTCCAACAACAGTCAACTCAAGCACATTCAACTAGATTAAAAATTCTGAATTCATTCTCCATATTCTAAACCCAACCAAATGTTGCACAAGATGTGTTTGTTTACAGAAATTGTGCGATTTGGTCTACATAAATATGTAGATATAAGTGACTTTGGGAAGAATATTTTGGGATGCACTGCCAAAAATGTCTGTTCCTACCTTGTAGGGGATTTGTGATAGAACCAAGACCCACAGTCGTATGTGCACTAATTAATATAAATCAATGAGGTATAGTTTGTTCTATCGCTGGGAGAAAATACCAAGTCTGGGGGTGTGAGTTTCTCAGGCATTGGAAAATACTAAATTTGGGGGTGTGAGTTTCTCGGGCATTGGAAAATACTAAATTTGGGGGTGTGAGTTTCTCAGGCATTGGAAAATACTAAATTTGGGGGTGTGAGTTTCTCGGGCATTGGAAAATACTAAATTTGGGGGTGTGAGTTTCTCGGGCATTGGAAAATACTAAATTTGGGGGTGTGAGTTTCTCGGGCATTGGAAAATACTAAATTTGGGGGTGTGAGTTTCTCGGGCATTGGAAAATACTAAATTTGGGGGTGTGAGTTTCTCGGGCATTGGAAAATACTAAATTTGGGGGTGTGAGTTTCTCGGGCATTGGAAAATACTAAATTTGGGGGTGTGAGTTTCTCGGGCATTGGAAAATACTAAATTTGGGGGTGTGAGTTTCTCGGGCATTGGAAAATACTAAATTTGGGGGTGTGAGTTTCTCGGGCATTGGAAAATACTAAATTTGGGGGTGTGAGTTTCTCGGGCATTGGAAAATACTAAATTTGGGGGTGTGAGTTTCTCGGGCATTGGAAAATACTAAATTTGGGGGTGTGAGTTTCTCGGGCATTGGAAAATACTAAATTTGGGGGTGTGAGTTTCTCGGGCATTGGAAAATACTAAATTTGGGGGTGTGAGTTTCTCGGGCATTGGAAAATACTAAATTTGGGGGTGTGAGTTTCTCGGGCATTGGAAAATACTAAATTTGGGGGTGTGAGTTTCTCGGGCATTGGAAAATACTAAATTTGGGGGTGTGAGTTTCTCGGGCATTCGAAAATACTAAATTTGGGGGTGTGAGTTTCTCAGGCATTGGAAAATACCAAGTCTGGGGGTGTGAGTTTCTCAGGCATTGGAAAATACCAAGTCTGGGGGTGTGAGTTTCTCCCAGAGAGATCCGAATCGGATCCCGTTACTCGATCCAACCCCATTTTCTGATGGGATCCTGATTGGATCCTAATCTCATTGGTATCCTTATCCTGTCAGTATCCAATCTCGATGGGATCCCGATCCCAGTGGGATCCCAATACTGGTGGGTTCATGATCCAGATTGGATACCGATCTTAGTTGAATCCCGGTATGGTCGAGTTACTCAGTCGGACCCCAATCCCGGTGGGATCCCAATCCTTTTGGTATCCCATTTCCGGTGGATTCCAATTCCGGGGGGTTCACGATCCCAGTAGGATCAAGATTTCTCTACTTTTTTTTTTTTTTAAATACGAAAAATTACACAACTACATGCACAAACTATAACTATAGTACATTTACGTTGATAGAAGGGTCCCGTCAAGGGCCCATTCTATAAATCTAATGATTTAGTTTTTCCTGATATAGGGGGCCCTATAAAAATCAGTCAGATAAACAATAAAGTTAAAATTAAAATTTTTCCAGTTAAAATCGGTTTAAAAATGCCATAGATATAGCTTTTTGAAATTTTCGAGCCTTCTTGACAATTCTAGATTGGATATTATTAGTTTAAAATCCACCGATATTTCAATAAGGACGATGATGTGTATTGCTACCACGCTAGGCCTATATCCATCATTTCACATAGAACCTATAGTGTTGTCTAAGCCTATTGATATAGCGTACATAAGGAAAATGGGGCCCCTGGCCCCAGAAGAATGAATATTATGAGTTCAGTACTCTATGGTATTTGAATATGGATAATCAAGTGTATGTGTACTAAGTTTGGTCAAGATCCATCAATTCATGTAGGAGTATTTGTTGTTAATTTTATTTTTATAGCTCAAATAAGGAAACAAACTAATTCGGGGTGACCGGCCCCAAAAGGAATGTTATAAAAAGGCCGAAAGTGATCAAATGGCAACTTTCGGCGCAGAAACCAAAGCCGAAATTCGGTCGGTCTCTATTTACCATCATTATCTTGGTGACATCGAGTCACATCTTTTAGTGTTCAATTTACAATTGAATTTACTAAAGACTCTTTGGTTAAGTGATGGATTACCTGTACTTGATGAGTAGAGTAAAACCTTCTTGTGCATGTTGTGCCAATGGGTGTTCGTAACAAAATTGTAATTACACCTAGCTCCTCAGGGTCTGGTTCTTCAGGCAGTGTGATTACCTGTGAGGATTAAATTAGATTTTTGAATTCATCAGTCCCATCTAAAGTACCACTCTTCAATTAATATTTTCTATATGTCAACCAAACCAAATATTTGCAACTGAATTTAATAATAATAAAAACCTACTTGAATAATAATGGGTTAACTAATCTCTATTTAATCATAATGTGCAATTTCCATAACTCTAGGACACTAGTTAAGATAGAAATAACTAATGAAAATTTCTATATTATCTGACTCGTTTGGGTCTCCTCTTGTATTTTGCAGCAGCTTCAGCTGCAGCAGCCACTTCTTGATTGATATTCTCTTGGACTATTCTTCGGTGTGCTGCTCTGCGGCTATGAGGTAAAGCCATGAGGTCTTCATTAGTTCGGTCAGAATCTCCACCCTGGGATTTAAACAATATTTTCTTAGCATTTAAAGTTGAATTAGAAAGAAAAAAAAAGTAAATTATATTCTCTATTGATTGAAGGGCCAGACAACTCTATAAAAGGGTAAAAAAGATTGCTTGAATGCAAGAAAAGAAAATGATAGCTTCTATATTAAATTTAAAACAAGAAAAAAAAAAGTTATTTCATTAGGTTTTAAATTTTTAAAAATTAGTTTTATGTGAATTTTGTGGTTGAGTTGTTTTTTTTTTTACTTATTATTTTATCCTCCATTAGAATGGGCTGAGAGGTCCATTTCATGCAACTATATGCCTATAGCTGGGGATGACCCATAACTGAGGATGATGGCCATAGCTGAGATGATGATAAATGAGTTTAAACCTCTTGATTGTAAGGCAGAGGAAATAACATAGGGCAACCCACATACATTTAAAAAAATTCATTTCTTAGTTGATACTTGGTATAACTGCATATAAGAAACATTTTTTACAATTTCTGGACTGCTCTTAAAAAGTTACTAATTGTAACTCTACCTTTGCTTTTTAATCTTAGCAAAAATACAAATTTACAATTCTGCTTACTCCCAGTGAAAATCCATTTCCTTTCCAGGTTGGACCTAAGAATCTTAAAAATTCTTCTTCTTTCTTACGTCTTTTCTCTTCATCACGAGGCAGTAAAATGTTCTGGTTATACTCAGCTGCCTAAGATACATCACAAAACATATTGAAATCAGGTCACTAGCTACTTCCAGAAGAGCAAATTCAGTATTAAAAAATATTTTTAAAAATGGATATTTCAGTCTCCTTTGTTGAATTCATATAACAATTACTAGCTAAAAATAAGTCATTATTATGTCTTGCACTGAGCAATCAATTTTTGTATCTTCTTCTTCAAAATGTCTTAACTTTAATTACACTCTGGCAACTGGACACTTGTGTCAACAGAATGGGATGATAAGCACAGACCTGGTGGCTTAAGGCATTTGGTGTAAAATATTGGCCAAACCAGTTTAAATTTTAGAATAGAATATAAAACACAATGATGACTCTGTCCCATCTGACACAGTTGAATGCTTTGGACCCCAAAAACTTCATTTTATTGAATTACCTTTAAATCACATTGATTTATTTCATTAGAGTCACAAATACTATAATAAATGTGAAACTGTAATTTTAAAACATTCTGAATATCCACAAATTCAGCTGTTTCAAAATTTCTACTTACCCTTGAGTCATACTGTTGTTGAATTCTCTGTCGATTCACAACTTCTTGTGTCTTAAATTGCTCTTTTATATGTGAATCTTCTAGATTTATATTCGTTGCATGTCCTGTAGGCATAAAAAAAATAATTTAAATCACCAAAATATTTGACAGTTATTACTTTTACTTTACACTTCAACACTGCCAAACTATCTGACGTCTTACAGAAGTTTAGCATACAAGCTGTTAATATGACTTTATATATTACTTGGTTGGAACAGAAATTACCTGATATCTTCCAGCTTGTTAAAAGTTCGCCCAGCTTTGGCAGTATCCAGCTGAGCAGCAGTGAAAAAACAGCAAAGAGAAAAAAACCCTGGAAGGCTACCTTCAATACTGTTGAATGCAAAGAAATTAGAAAAACAATCATATTATTATGTTAACCTTTTTAAACGAATTAAATTAACATATGATATATATCAGCATAATTTCAAAAAGTTAAGGTGAGATGATACATGAAAGCTTTCATAAATTTAGAAATAAGGAATGAGTTAATAACTTGCTTACTAGAGGGCTCTATTATTAGTTTTAACACTTTTAAGCAACTACTTACTTGTTTCACTATCCATTGAAGTGAAGCTATGCTTACTGGCTTGCAATCTTCATAGAATTGTTATTCTAATTTTTAGTAATTGTATAATTTATTAAAAAAACACAGTAAATACAAGCAAGATAATGTAAAATTTAAGTGAATATACCCTTATTATTTGTACCATGCAATTATTTTGCCCCCCCCCCAACCCCCATTTTTAAATGGCGCCCAAGCCACATGACTTGTTGTGCGCCATTCTCTGTACACCTCTGTTCCTTCTCAAGTCCGTGGGCCTCAGTAAATAACTAAATGTAAAGGGTAAATAATGGGACTTGTCGTTTACTTAATATTTTTGCTTTTGCGGCTTGCCATTGAACACTATTAACTTAAAACTGAAACTTGAAAGCTAAGGGGCCATACATAAATGACATGCATTTTTTTTGGCAGATCTTTTTAACCTCCTCCTCCTATAGTCACAAAATTTATACACCCTCATTATAAATCATCCCAAATTCATGATCCCCCCTACCCCGTTTAACATCTTTTATGACATCATTAGCTTGATTAAGATTATTTAGCATAAAGTTCCATTAAATTACTAGGCTCGTGAGCTCACTCAGACTATAAGGAGTAGCTGAGAAGTAGCTGTAGGAAAAAAATGTATTAAATTTATAATTTTAGTATAGGAGAGTTGTAGTAAATTCCTTTAGTTAGGCCCTAGACAATACAAATGAAATAGTGTATACATGTTTTCTCCTACCTTGTGCAATTTCTTTTTCAAATTGCTTCAACCTGAATGAAGTCCTCCCTAGGGGCATCTCCACAGGGTGGAAAAGAAGCAGTTGCTTTGATTCTGAGTTTTGGGGGTGGGGTGGGGGGAAATAAAATCCTCCCTGCCTGCCTTTTGAAATTTCCCAGATAAGAAAAGTAATATGGGAAAGAAACCAATACAATTACTAATTTTTTTTCTTATATTTTATTTATTGAAAAAAAGTGAGGGTAGGAATTTTGGGTAGGGGGGGGGAAGCATATCATAATGGTCATGCTTAAACCTTAGGAGTGTCACTGAGCTCCAACCCTCTAGATTGGAACGCACATGTTTTGACCACACAGCCACCCAAATGCTTGATCTTTCAACGAATTTTAAGAATTAAAACCAAAAAAAAACACTATAGTATAGGTCTACTCAAATTCATTTTTTGAATAATCATGGGATTTGATAATTTAATTTGCTGAAAGATGTGAAAAACAGTCATACCTTCTTTATCAGGGTTAATCAGTTCCTGGCTCTAATTTCTGAGAAGTAGGATTCTTTATTTATAAATCAAATATTTTTGTAGTTAGAACATAGAAAACCTGTTCACGACTCTCTATATAGAGTTTTTAACATTATTAGACCCTCTAGGGTGCTCAAATACATAAGCCTACAGTCGAAGTGCCAAGTGGTGAGGGACGACTGTAGTTTGTTATCAATATTATTATGGAATAGTGAACAATATTCTTTAAAAAAATATAAATATACATTTTTGTATTACTAATATACATAGTGAATTCCCGAATGAAACCCCAATGCCAATCGCATGACTGACATGACCCACACTGGCTAAAGTCAAAGTGACCAAGTTAAAGATAGGCACTTTGATGAAAATTTCAAACATATTTAAAATTATAAAAATCTACAGCTGTATAGAGCTTAGAGAATGGTTTACAAAAACACCAAGATCAACTTTTTAAATCAAGTGGTTCAAAGGTTATGATTTTTTAGTAAGGACCTCAAAACCACTTTTTCACTATTGGGGTTTTGAACAAATTTCGTAACCTTTCTTTTGCTTTTTTTTATGCCTATTACTATATTATAAAATGAGACCAAAAAAAAACCAGGGAAATTAGTTATTCATAAATTCTTCTAAATAAAGCCACAAAATATAAGTTTAATTTTTTTTTAATATTCTGCACACATTTTTAAAAAATTTTGTAATTTTTGTAATGTATAAAATATGCTGACTCATCATTTATTTGTATTTAAATTAATTTTCTTTAAATATAAATTTTAAAAATTTCCCTAAAGTAATAATAATAATAATATTCTTCTGATATTAATTTAAAAAATTTCTGTGGAATTGTTTAACATTTATTGATAAGTATAAACAAATAATACAGGGATTATTTGATTAACTAATTATAACAGTGTTGGACTGCGATAAAGCTTAAAAATAGATTAATTAGACACTAAAAATTTGTGTCAATATAACAATATATGTTAAGCTTTAATCATAATTATAAATAATACCCGGTACACAAGAAAACGTTTCGGCACATCCCTTTATCAGTATAAAAACAAAACATTTAAATAATTATAAATTAAATTTACATAATATATATATATACATATATCCTACCTAAAAAAAGAAGAAGAAAAATAGGAGTGGGCGCAAAAACAAGACAGAAACAAAGTAAATAAGAGTCACTCCTATTTTTTAAAATTTTTTAAAGTAATTCTTGGATTATTGTGGCAGAAAGTTTGTTATTTCTTTAAGAATACTGAAGACTATGTAAAAATTTTCTTGTGATTTGTGAATGAATGAAGGATATTTCAATATCAAAGGTAAGTGAATATTTTTTTACATTGGGACTCTCGTGACAAAAATTTTGTACATATTTTATCACCAGTACACTGGTCCTAACCTCATGATTTTTGGATATGTTGTCAATTATGCATTCACCTAAAACTTTAAAAAAAAATTTAACTTTATATGTTCCAAAAAAAGAATTATGAAGGAGTTAAGTTAGCCTTTATTTACCTTCAATTTTCAAAGTCAAGCCATCCGCTTTTTTCAAAAAGAAAAGTGTAGAAAGAACAACAAAAATGTCTGCTTTAAGTTGCCAGGGGGAAGTAGAATTTACTAAGAAAACTAACATCTGCACACAAAAAAAAACCAAAAACAACGCTACCTCTGTAAATTAAAAAGTGTAGGTCACCATTTTTACATCAAAATTACCATACCCGTTTTTCAGGTGTTTCCAGGCAATACCAAGTGCCTTTAAAAGTTTTAAAGGTATAGGGAGCAAGGGCTTCCACCACGACCACTCAAAAGTCAGAAAGACTCCAGGTTCTCCCCATAAAACTTACAATTTTACAATAGCAACAACTACTTACACTGGTACTAGAACTAGAATGTTTTTTTTTCCAATGGCCGCCAGCCATCTTGGTCAACAAGACCAGTTAATTCACTAAATCTAAGTTAGTAAATGAAAATGTATCCCTAAACCTAACCTGAACCCTAAATATATGCCCTAAATCTAACCTGAGCCCTAAATGTATCCCTCAACCTGAACCCTAATTCAAATTCAAGGCATCTTTAATAAACAGCAAAAGACGTCGTTGCATCCTATCCTAGTAGTTAATCCTAGGATTAGCCCATTTAGGGTTCAGGTTAGGTTTAGGGATACATTTAGGCTGATTTAGGGTTCAGGTTAGGTTTAGTGAATTATAAAAAAAAAGTTTAGGGGTGGTGGCAACCAAGAGGGCGGCAGTGTGATACTCATGGCAGCAATTGAAATTGTCTGCATTTACCGAAGAAGGGTAGGCTGAAATAAGTCTGAGTATGAATGAGTACTATGTGTTAATGAGTAGGCCCATGCAAATATGCAGGGTGGCAATCTGAGTAATCAGTTAAATCAGTCAGTAGCCGTCGCCGTAAATTTAAATTCTGTAAGAGTAAGAGTAAGTAGGTGAAAAAGGCGAAGGTGGTCCACTGGTCCAGGTATAGTATACTTTTACTAAAGTGATTTTATTTTAATTTTGGGAAACTAGTATCGTATATTTAGTATACTTGAGTTTAATTTAAATTATAAGCTTAGGCCCATGCTTTCGGATTATAATTGATGTCCTGATGTTATTTCGGCTTACAGTTAAGTGAAGTCCTAGTGTTTTTGTTTCTATATCTAGAATGCGGCCAGAGTAGATTCCCCTTATTAAAAAAAAAAAAAACGAAACAATCTTTCGAAGTGGCTATTCGCACCCGGGTATCAGAAGTGAAAGGTTGGGATTAAAAAAAAATATTATTGTTGGGTTTGTAAGACTAAATGAGGTATCAAATGAAAGGTAATTGAAAGGACTATACGTTTTTAAACTTACTTCTTCAGTTTAACTAAAATAAACTACAAAAAATGACATCCGATGGGATTTAGTCTAAAGGGACCCGGGTAGACATAGCCGCTATAGTTCCTATACTGACAATAATCATGTTTATATTTCCACAAACAATGATATTTTGTTCTTAACAAATTGTTAATTGATTCTGCATTATAAAAGTTCAGTGTAAAAACTTTTGAACTTGTTGATTAACATTAACAAGCTAAACCTGTAATAAAATGTTTTCCTTACAGTTTTATAGTGTCATTTAAATAAATAGATCAGCACAAAGTAAAATGTATTGATACAATGTATTTTGTGTGTGTGTGTGTGTGGGGGGGGGGGGTATAAA